AAAACCTCTCCTGTAACTATTTCTATTTTCAGCCTCTAAGTCCTGGATTAATAGAAAAGATGTCAGCCGTTATTGAGACCTCTCAACGGTTTGCCGCCTCATCGTGGCTGGGAGGTGTTCCTGGCTGTTGGAATGCGTTCTACAGCGGTGAATTCATCCCCTGGCAGGATCTACCAGCTGAGAAGGAGTCTGGTGTTTCCATCGTAAAGCCTATCTAAGAGTAAACCAATACCAGGACCCACAACCGTCTTGATATCAAAGCCGCATGTTGGCAAATCTCTCTCTGATCCACAAAGGCTACGACAACCTGTTGTGGTTAGGACCTGGGGCAGACTTTGGCCTGGCTGACCTTGGGATTCCGTGGAACTACATTGGCTTAACCAGCAAATCTTGGAAAAATGGAGCTTATGCTGAGGCCCGCACTAAAAGTGAGGACGGGCCATTCAAGTACCGAGTGTCATGTAAGCATTTTTTAGACTGGTCACTTTCTTTATTAGAACGTGATGTAGGCTATCACCTGCATCCTCTATTATCCTGACAAATATTCGGCTTTCATTAATGAATTCCATTCGTTTTCCTCATGTACTCTTGCTACTCTGTGATTCCCGCTTGCTTCTGGAATACGAAGAGCACTGCTCTTTCAGCAATATGCCTATTGTCTTCCTTCTGAGATTCTCTTCATGTGCGTCATACTTCCTCAGCAGGGGAAATCTCAGCCGCAATGAGGNAAAAATTTGATGTTATGGACACTGTATTTATACAGATTTATCTTACAGTTTCCAGCTCTCACAATTTAATTTTTCTTCATATTATTCACAATCTCTACAATCTACTCGCGTTCCGAGCCTAGTAGAGAACTTGGTGCAAAATCACTATGCGAAATAAGAGAAACCAAGGGAGTCTTCCTTATTGATGACCGATGTTCATTTTGAATATGTTTTATAACTTAACCGGATCGTTTTTATAATTAATTTCATTTGTCAATAATGTTGTTTACTTTAGTCAAGCAGACATCACGCGCTGGATGGAGACTGCCAATTATTTGAAGTCATGCTAGATAGCTTTCATACTTTCAACAGAGGCGCGCTCCATCATTTGTGGATTGGAGGAAGACACTTAACTAAGGGAACGTTGCCAATTTTCCTATTTCGAGGTGAAGGGGGGCTTGGTGGACACACTGCTTTCGTACAGAGCATGAATTCATAAAGCGTGCTATGAACTGTGGGAGCTGCCAAGTTACATTATTGTAAACCTTGCTCACCAAGTGTCATGAACTGTTTGCTAGAATCGAAATAAATGTCACACTATCAGCACAAACACAGTGCATACCCGTCGTCCACAAAAATTCAGTCAGATGATGAGCTGAGCCAGAAACTTTCTACCACTCGTTGAAAAAATTACTTTCAACAAAAATATCCACAAGACCTGTTCACTCGAGCTACAGCGTGACTGAGGTAAATAAATTACGCTTGGAGAAGAAAACGGGACTGCAAGCAAATTGCCACGATAGAATTAAAGAAACAGCTCTGATAAAATGAAAGTGAACAGATGGCCCTCCAGTGCTCTGAGACCTGAGGCGTTTGATGAACGTGGTGGACGGCTGGGACAAGTAGCTATACAGACAAAGTGAAGGAGAACAACGAATCTGACCTTCCCAAGAAAAAGGGAAAAAGAAGCCACCTATCAAAGATGGTTCGCTGTGCAGCGCATGAACGACACTCGATGACGAAACGTCTGTGCATTAGGTAGCATCCATAACTACTCTTGATGGCAGGCGATCTAAGTAGCAAAGTAACTATCGTAACTGTCCACTCGCAGAATAGCGTTAGTCGCGATTTGCAATCCATGTGATAAAACTCACGCCCATTCATTGTATGCCTTTTCACATGACTGTTTTTTCAACACAACTTACAACACCGTCATTTAGCAGCAATTATAACAAAAATCTCAACTAAATCACTTCCACAAATAAACTCGTATGAATTGAAAGAAATCACAACGAAGAAAGTCGAAAGAATCTGCATCAAAAACCCGTAGTACAGATAGTACTAGCGAAATAGGACGTAGAATTAAAGTATTCACAAAAGAGCAGCAATAGGCTAACAGAGTCTCAAAACAATAAACGAAACCACAAAGCCAAGAACAAAACATTCAAGCAACAGAACATGTCGACAAGAAAAAAGAATCCAAAGAAAACTTGAAATCAAGCGGAACACCTTGGAACCAACAAAACTCAAAAAAAATTAACCCAACATGTTAGGTAGAACCAACGATAGAACAAAACTGAGATATATGTGGAAATTTGAGAGCAGTAAGAAAGTTACAAAAGCTAGTGTATAAGATGAAAACAAACAGATCAAAGCAGAAATGAAGTCCTGCTTCCTTGCTCCTATCATCGACGCGGTCCAGTAAATCCACTTATCATTCATTCAGTTTGGATAAGAATAGAATACATGTTAAGCATATTTAGATATCCAACGATTCATGTCCTAACTGGCTTGTAAGATTGCAGCTTGATATCAGATCAAATAGGCTAATGCTGTCGTCCTTGGCAAAATTTACACCATAGTGGGAAAATAATTGTTTTCTCCTCGGCATTTACTCGACATTAGCAAAGAAGTAGAGCGAGGCTTCTGATTTTATTTACGATTAAGAGGAACTGAAGTGCAGTTCTGCAAAATGCAGTGCTTCGCTCACCAGACCGAAGGGTCTTTGAGTAGATATTAGAGAGGTAGTCAGTAGTAAATTTATCATACAACAAAATGCATGCATGAGAATTACTGAATCCTTAATTCAATTTAACAGAGAGCATTGCAGACGACAGACCTGATTTAGGAGACTTCCATAACGTGCACGAACAGTGATGTTGTTCTTATTCTCTTCCTGGGTTGACATCTTGGAATTGGATCTCGCAGTCCTGTCCGGGGAAGAGCAGCTTGCCTACGAATTGTAAACATTAGGCCGATCGAATAATAAAAGTCTCAGCACAGCAAGGCGAAAAATTTTTCCCGAAATTCATCTACATGGGAATAATTCGTTTTTAAATGAGAAAGAATGAAGCATAAGGGTACATCAATTTGTAAGGTGTCTTTTCTACACGATTAGGTGCTTTTGTCCACAGCAATCTCATAATACACTTGCTTAATTAGTTAGTTAGATAAACCGTCATCATGGGCTGATCCCAGCCCTTCTCTTCATTTCGTTCCTTTGCAACTGGAAATGTAGGTGGCTTCATCTCTGTTTTGAAGGAACGTCTCGCTCATCATGCCAAGCCCTATTCGTGTGTCAATTTTCTTGAAACCTCCAAACAAATTTGCTAGAGCGTTTTTAGGAACAACAGAAAGTCGCCGCCGCACCCCTTGAAGCTCTAGTGAACCAAAGGAAGCCTGCACCTCCACAGGCCAGATTCTTCCGGAGTGCACTAAACGAAAACTGTTTGAGTTTTATAGCACCGAGAACATACCTGCGCGAAGATATAATTATATATTTGGAGGTTTGAAAGTTATTCACAATGAAAACGGTGGGATAAGGCTGCTATTATTATCCATGAAGAAATCTCTCAATGCGAAGAGTGTTCTCATGATTTTCTACCAAGGACTATCCGACAGTTGTTGGAAATCTAGTTTCATCTCGATGCCTAGAAGTTGAATGGGGAAATATTTTTCGTCACACAAGAATCTCATATAAATCACTGTTGCAAATGTGTTAACGACAGCTTCACCTCATGATTGCGAAATGTATACGAGTTAATCACACGCCTGATGGCCCAGTTACGCGTAACGAATACCCTGCCGTGAAAACTAGTAAAAGGCAGAAAATAAAAAGTCAACATTGTGAATTTCAACTATAGCTTCAGCTTAAAAAAAACCTTAGCTTCAGCTGGGTTCAATGCCGATTTGGGCTCCCCGGATCAATCCTGTTGACAGATAATTGCTGATGGCAGTGTTCGATAGAACTAGCTGAGAGACAGGCGAAAAGAAGGACCCGCATGGTGTGGTCGTGAACGCGTTACTCCCCGGAAGGGAAGTGGTAATAGTTAGACGATGTTCATGGACCGAAATGTTATTAACAGTCAAACGTAGTAACGTCATATCACATGTGCTCAGAGACCCTCTATCGAACAACGTCATCACAGTTTTTCTTGATGACCAAAAAACAATAATATTCATCCTATGTACAGTAGCACTTTATTTAAAATTTAATTATTGGTTACTTTGAATTGAAACGATTCGCTCAGTCTTTCTGTCAGTGCGGTTCCACATTACTTGGATACTTGGATGACTCGTCCTACCTACTTTTGTGGACCAGAGCAAAATATTTACTATTTCGGCGGCTTGCTGATTTAGCCACTGTGGTTCCCTGAAGTCCCGTGGTCAGCTTAGTGAAAGTCTGCCACAGGTCGTCATCACTACAGCCCATCGCGGCCCTTGTGTATTAGAGGGAGATTTGCCAACATGCCACAAGTTTGGTACCAGGACGGTGAAGGTACACTTTTAGCTGGGTTTCCTGATTGAAACGCCGGACTCGTTCTCAGCTTAGAAGACCTTGCTAGGAGGATAAATAACCCCGCTGTACACCGCAGCTCGACACCCAGGAACACTTCCCAGCCACGATGAGGCGTTACGGTAAACCGTTGGGAGTGGGGGTTCCACACTGTTTCGCCAAATTTCGAAAAAGAAGTCGGCAAACTACTTGGTGGAGCAAGATTGTTCGGGCTGATAATAACTTGAAAGAAGTGTACCAGTTATTCAAAACGAATACGTAAACCAACGTCATGAACAAACGAAATTATCTAAAGCCCTCATTAAACGCTGTTGCATTCCAGTTCCCTCAGGGCACATTGAAATGGAAAAGGATAAATATTCGGGAAAAATAAGTGAAAAAGTGTTACGAGAGTAACAAAAAACATAATAAGTAAATTTACTTTCGAAAGTACTAGATAAGATGGCAAAAACCAGAATTGGAAGGTTGTCAGAGGACTTCAATACGTTCCAGTTTTGCTAATCTCGATTAAGAGCGTATAACGTATAACGAAATCGACTTACTTCGAAATTCATCATCGAGTCAGAAGACATCGAATGGTTCGAGTACTCTTGTGCAAATAACCTGTACTGCGTTTCAGGGATAGCCAACGAGATTTCCTGTTGTTGCACGGACTCATTATCATATTCAAAATCGAAAACCCCGTTGTACTGGCTATCCGCTTCTGCCCTCACAACTGAGGTGGATACCCCGTACTGCGATTCGGCGCTAGTTATCAACACTTCTTGTTGCACAAAATCATCACCATATTCTAAATCGAAGACCTCGTTGTACTGGCTATCCGCTTCGGCACTCACAACTGATGTAGATACCACGTACTGCGATTCGGCGCTAGTTATCAACACTTCTTGTTGCCCAGGATCATCGCCATGTTCAAAATCGAAAACCCCGTTGTACTGGCTATCCGCTTCTGCCCTCACAACTGAGGTAGATACCCCGTACTGCGATTCGGCGCTAGTTATCAACACTTCTTGTTGCCCAGAATCATCGCCATGTTCAAAATCGAAGACCTCGTTGTACTGGTTATCCGCCACAAAATCATCACCGTATTCAAAATCGAAGACCTCGTTGTACTGGCTATCCGCTTCGGCCCTTACAATTAACTCGGGTCTAGATGGCTCGTACTGCGATTCGGGGTCAGTTAACAACACTTCTTTTTGCACGTAGTCATTATCGCACTCAAAACCGATAACATCGTTGTATTGGCTATCGGCTGCTGCCCGCACAGCTGACCCAGGAGTGAATGTCTTGTACGGTGATTCAGAGCTAGCCAGCGACATTTCCTGTTGTTGCATATAGTCACTATCGGAGTCAAAATGGAAGACATCAGTGTCTTGGCTGTCGGCCGCTGTCCCCACAACTGCCTCGCCCGCTGGTTCCGGCGGGAAAGCAATTGACAAGAGCACTGAGAGGAGAAGTTCGTCGTCCAGCTCTCTCGATCCAAACAAAACGTCCAATAGATAGTTTTTCATGTCATCAAATAGAGGCGAGTATACGATTTCTGAAAAGAACACACCACTTAGTGAGCGACTCCTCTGTTTCACCACAGCTTTTCATAATAATAGAATCCGCTAGAACAAACAGATACAATAGTTCAAAAGCGTTTTCATTCTTTAGTAATCACTGATGATAAGGGTAAAATGTCAAGGCTTCCAGCGTTGATATCCCAAAAATTCCTGGGGGATGCGGCACGCGTTCGACTTCATTAAGTATCTCTTGAGGTGATTGAATGCATCATGGCCTTTGCAATGACTCGCGGTGGCCTACCGATGTATCGAGCCACTGTTGCTATCCTCCCAGACAAATTTGGTACCAATATGCCGACCCCGGAGAAATGGAAGGGTTGGTAAGCCAGGGACGCTGAGATCAACCCTATGTGCAGTGCAGGGCGCTTCCAACCACTGCGGCGCGGCCCTCACTACTACTCACCACTGATTTTTTCAAAAAATGGTCGTTCCAATCTAGCAGTTTCGTCTTTATTCTTTTAAATTTAAATAACTACACCGTTGCTAAACCTAAATACTATAGTGCTAAATTATACCACTAGTAGTAGTAGTACATAAGAGTATAAACATTGGTTTTCGTTCCATATGTGAACTAATGAGTTACTTTGTTTACCAGGTTTGCCACAACTGTAGGACTCTGCTATGGTCCTGGAAACGCCTTCAGCCAATTTGGTAAAGCGTCAAATTAATTGTCCGTTCACAAGTTGGTTTCTATATGACTGGGCATTTACGCACATCATTCCACCATTCTCTCATCGCCACTGGTGACAGAGGACCACGATGAATTGGAGAAATGAGAACTCTGCCGAGCGGAGTAATATTCATCACCGGTGGAGGCGAAACGATGTGATAAGGTAATGAAAGAAACGTACGCTGGTTAATTTGCTCGCTCGAAATCGCATTTTCAACAGAACAATCTTGAAAAGTATTGTTCGGCATGGAACTCGACGTGGCATCCGACATATTCGTCAAGCCATTATTTCTGGAATTGAAGGCTGGTGAGTACTTCAGATTTGATCCTAACGTTATGGTTTATAGACCATAACGAACGACAGGAATGTAATGAATAGATTTTTAAAAGCTGCAGCAAATCGATGTTGATTCGTGAAGGAAAGTAAGAAGCGAAAATAAAAGCGAAATGTGAAGCCGTGTTTATAAAATGTGTGCTTCCTCGTCGTATATGTGTAACTGTTAGGGAACTACTCATCGAGATAATTTACTCTCGATGACATAAGTGTAAAATAAACTTACTCCATCGGTAGTTTATTTAGCATTATGTCTCCACGGCTCGGTGACTCCAAAGCTGTCTGCGGCTCCGTCACGCTTGCTTCCGATGGTGGAGGAGACTGTGCGTGTAGAAGATGGGGTATCTGAAATTCGAGCTGGAATAGTAGAAGGAACTATATATGGAACATTGCGGACGATGCTTCGCCTATGATTTTCATTTCACCCATCTGCATGCGCTAATTCGTTCGACTTCAGGATATCACTGGAAAAACTAATAAGCCTAACCACTTACTCCACTATGTAAAATTTCTACGCAATGATCTAGAAAGGTGCTAGCTAAGAGCTTAGGTGCGCGATTTCTAACATAAAATATATAAAATTACAGTTGGAGACCGAAATGAGCAGCGTTTTCGTAATCGTAGGTGAATACCAAGGACCTGCTTCAGTTCACACCTAAGCGAAATATGCTGCTTCACCTAACTGCAGCTAACTACGCTATGAAACTACCTCACAAAGAATCCACCTTACCAAGCACTCTATCAGAATGCCGGTTTCCACAGGCCATTCGCTCGTCCTCCAACTGGATGAGGTGACCGGCTCACCGTCTCCATCATACGAAATTGACACAGGTTTCGGTGGGGTGGACATTGGATAGCGGAATTTTACACTAAAAAAGTAAAACAATAAAATCGAAGTGAAAGAACATGTGAGATGGCGGCATTCAACAAATACTAAAGTTGAAATAGATTTAAGGAGACTGGCATGAGAAGACTGACACTGTCAATCCGCTGCTTAGTGACAGTTATCTACGGCAGTTCCACTAAATATGACGAATACCTACTGTATTTTCTAAGAATAATGCTTATATATCATTGAAAATGATTATATTGTGAGGGACGTGTAGTGGACGGTGTTTCACATGAATGTTCAGGGTATTACGTGCAAAACTTGAAAACATTCAAGGGCCGAAAATTTAAAATTCGCGCCTTATTTGCCGACGTTGGCGGTGGGTCAACCGCCTACGGGTATTGCCCACCACATATTTCCAAGGAAAAACGTGCGTATTTCGAAAATTTTTTATTATTTAGCCAGGAAATGGTGGAAAATGTTTGTTTGTTTAAGCCATACCAACATTGTTTTCAATGGCAACGATTAAACTTGAGAAGAAACTTTGAGAGTCTACTATATGAGTTTGAAAGAAGCAGCAAATAACACAAAACTAACACATGGTTCTTTTCCTTTCGAACGAATACCTCTTTCAATTGGAAAACGTCGCCGTCAAAATTGGTACAACGCACCAAATTCCACTAAACAACACTGTTTCGTGTAAAAACGTTCAATAAATTAAATAAATTGACATAATTGATTTTTGACAGTTGACGTATATTAGAGTTTCTGGTATCTTCTCTTAGATGCGTGTTATGGGATACTTCTCGCACCGTTCTTTCGGGTGCGCATTCCATAGCGCTGAATGACCATCTCATTCTGCTCATGTAACGACCAGGTTTCTGAAGCGTACCTTAATGCAGGAAGAATCGTGAAGACGAAAAAATATGCACGAAGTCAGACGTTCTTTGTTCTCCTTTCTACATCTCCGATGTTTTTGAAACCTCTACGAGGCGCTCGTATACTCCTGCTTGACTCTAGAGTTTGAATTTGTCGAGTCGTTCATCAAGTTAACTTTGCCATCAAGATAGAAGTATTTGAACTATTGAACTATTTGCAAGTATTCGCTCCATTAAACTTGAATGAAAACGAAGGTGGTTCAGCTGTCGACCATCTATTCTCACTCCCATTTTGTCCCATTCCAATGGTGGCGCGACGTTCTCTAGCGTAGCAGTAAATAAATTTGGGGAAATGGAATCGTCTTGATTTAACCCTCTTTTTACGTGGAAGCTAACTTCGACATGGAATGGTAGGATTTTGATTGCGAAACATTTATAAAGCTAATAAAAAGTGTTTAACTATAGAGTAGGGATACCCTGACGTCCCAAGGCTCTCCTGACTTCTTCTAGCTCAATTAAGTTAAAAGCTATCCTTAAGTCGGTGAAAGCAAGACAAAGTGGTCTTTTGTGCTATCGCGATACTTCAATGAGTTTTGTTATTGTGTTGATGTGGTCCATTGTACTAAATCCTTTTCGAAACCCTGCTTGATCACATGGCTGCCCGTCGTCCGATGTTTTGTCAATCCCGTTGAGGATAACTAGAGTGAAAAGTTTGTAGACGACATTTAGCAAGTAGATTGGGCGATAGTTGCCGATATCGTAGAGGTCAACCTTCTTGAACATTAGCACGGTCTTGCTGGTCTTCCACTGAGTAGGGAACTTGCATTCAGACAGGTAACGTGTGAAGAGCCGAGCCAGTGTGTTTACGAGGACTGGCCAAAGGTTCTTCAGGTGTTCAGATCTTGTCCTCCTCGTACCTAGTGCTGTTCGATTCTTCACTGACGAAACAACATTAGAATTTCGGAAGAAAAATCGCTTGGGACGAGATATCCATTCTTTTTTAATCCGTAGGTGGTGCAAAGACGTGGATATCGCAGAGATTCGATCGATTAGCTATTATGAACGGCTTTCTCAGTGGCCTCTTTGGAAGCTATAATTGTTTCGCCCAGACGTGCAGTCATCTTGGTTTTCTAATTGGCAAAGCTTCAATTGACTTTAAGAATGCCTTTTTGGGCTCTGGATCTTCGACCGCAACTGCTGCTCTTCTCTCTTCAAGGTTTTCTTTTATCGCCTGTCTGCATTGTTGGACATATTCAAGCGTGAGTTAGGAGTTGCTTGAAGCTCGTGCAATTCTACGCTGGCGTATTTCTCTTGGTGACTTTCGAACTTTCAGCTTCCATAGTGGAAACTTGAAGATGTTGAATGGGCCGATCGTATTCCTCATCGCTGTTATCAAGAGCTGTTATCGCTGTTACAGCATCCTCCCAGCAACCGGCTAGTGAATTGAATAAATCCCAGTTGGCAGTGGTTCTGGGACTTCGTTTTTGATTTTAGCGGATTTTTCTCCTTTCCATGAGAAATAAAATATTGCATGAAGAAACGTTGGTCTGATCCCGTGCAGAATTTTGAGACCACAGCGACATTCTTTAGACAAGACTTTGGTTTACTACGACGTGGTCTATTTCGTTATGGTACTCTCTAATGGGTGATTCTCACTTCCAGCGTTGAGTGTGGGGCTTCTGGGAGTGCGATTTACCATGAATGGTCCTGCTCGTCACGATAGAATCAGAGAGCAGCTCAGCCTGCTCGTTGCACTCTAACCCGTAGGTCTCAATTTGACGTTGTCAGACGTTCTTTTGGGTCCAGTCTTAGCATTAAAATCTCCAATGAAGACCTTGAAGAATGTTCATTCTTCTCTGCAGAAAATAGTATGACTTATATTTGGAGTGCCTTCGATATTAAGTGAATGCAGTGATTCCTTGCACTATCTCACTTCCAGCAGCGCATGAGGATTCCTTAGCTTCTGAGACCATTGATGGAGGATGAATTCATGCTGTACGTCACACTCTCAAGAATGTCCTAAGCAAAGTGGTAATTCGCTAGGGAGAAGTTCACTCATATTTACTCGAAGAAGTTTACTCATATTTACTCGATAGAATCAAAACATAAGTTCTGACCATTTAGCACTTTCAAAAATCTTTGCGCCGAAACAATTTCGTTCTTTAGCTTTTTTTTGTTAACTCTACACGGAGTTAGTCTACCTCTACACAAACTACTGAACGATAGTATATTCTATTTTACTGCTATTTCTAGGTGAGTGAGAGGCGCGTGTAACTCAGTGATTAGAGGTCTATACACATGAGGTCTTTGGCTCGTTTTCGCGCATCTGTTCACCAAGCCTTCCATCCTTCTGGAATCGACAAAGTGAAGTCGAGCTTCTCTGCTGAGACGATGGCAGCACTGTCATCGTATAGGTTGGCCATGTATTTAATCACCACTACGATGCCTGGTGAAGTCAAATGCTTGGTGCATCTCACAGGAACTAATCAACGCTGAATGTTTTTTATCCTTTATCCGTCTGAGTGAAACTATTCTGCTAACAACACAACTGATTTGTTTACTGGGGATTTGTTGTTCCAGTTGGAGCGTTATGTTATCGTCGAGCTTGCCACTTAGATCCTACGAGGTTCTGGTGGCCGTGAATGGGAAACTAAACAGATTTATATTGCCCTGTTGCGCAATTACGTATATTTTACTATTGTCTGTTATTCAACCACATTGCTTCTCATCATTTGGAAGTACATTTGAACTTATGCTGAGTCTCAATTTCAACTTATTATTTACTGCCTACTTTTTTTTTAACGGCAGGGTATTCATTGTGAAATATAACTTCAACGTTGCTGAGATATTTGCAAAACTCCGGACCGCAGTTGTATGCGGTGGTGAACGAACACGCGCTGTTGTCCTCACCGGGGAGCAGCGCACTTCACCACCACACCATCCGGGTTCTTCGTTCTGCCTGTCTCTCATCTAGTTCTATCGATCTTTTGCCATCAGCAATCACCCGTCAACGGGATTGACCTGGAGATCCTAAATCGGCAACGAACCCAGTTAACTGGGTAGGCAGTAAATAATAAGTTGAAATTGTGATTACAACTGCGGCCTCAGCTTAACTGGGTTTGTTGCCGATATAGGCCCACCAGATCAATCCCGTTGACGGATGATTGCTGATGGCAAAAGATCGATAGAGCTAGCTGAGAGACAGGCAGAACGAAGGAACCGGATGACGTGGTGGTGAAGTGCGCTGCTCCCCGGTAAGGACAACAGCGCGTGTTCGTTCCCCACCGCATACAACTGCGGTCCGGAGTCTTGCAAATATCTCAGCATCGTTGAAGTTATGTTGAATCTGTTTCTGCATCTTTTGCATCCAACCAACGCAAGCGACATCCACAAGAACTGGAACTGAAATAGCATCCAAGTTACTAGTCAAGAAATTACTCGTTCGAAAACGGTTTTTCATGTGTTTTTAAGTGCTGAGTAGATCGAAATGAAGAAGCATCACTTACTATGCACCTGTACCACCTTGCCTGAAAACGCCTGTATCATATATATTGTGCGTCGGCATCAATGGGATAATTGTCGTCAGGTCACGTTTGTTGCAAAAATGAGTAGTGCTGATCCCGACCGAAACAGCTGAAAAATTGACCCTGATAGAGGTCTGTTTACAGCTGCTAACTTTTCATGAATTGCATGCCTGGCTAAAGACAGCGCCAATGTTTACAGCTCTCCTATTGATTTATTTCTAATTTTAAACCTAAATGAAAATGATGAATGTGCTCCAATTTCAGATTTAGAATAGCTGTTTCACATTAAGTATAACGGATTTTTTTTGGTAAAACATCTTTAATGAACCGAATTGTAGGAATCATGGCCGTTCTTGAGGAATACCAGTCCTCTACGTTATCCACCCTGGTAAAAACGCACGTGCGCAACTTCTTTGTTTGGTCAGTAGTCGCTCCCATTTAAGGAAAAAGTGTCCGGCTGGCCTGTGAGGAACGAGATCAGTTCGCCGTTTTCAGCTGGAAAGAATCGCATCCTTAGTATTCCAGTCCTGGAGCTGCGAGCCTTCTTTTGCTGTTGGTCGCACTTAGGAGAGTAGGAAATTAGAGTATCAGTTGTGTTTTATCAACGGCGTTTTGGTCA